GACAGGCTCATATACAGAACCGCTGATCTCTCAGAACAAGGGCAAGAAAACAGAATCACAGCACATGTAATCGTTATAATCTACTTTTATTAGAGAAATAGTGTTATGAAATAGCTCATAATGGTGAATAACAGAACATGAGGGGTGATGAACATTTTCTCTGCTTTCTCTCACACATTGTGGTCGTATTATGAAGCAGAAAGTTTTTTCCCCTCATTAAGTTTGAACAAAAGAGCAATCAGACAAAAAATATATTATTAAGGTTATTATATTATATAATTATAGCTTTATTTTGGCATCGTCCTTGGCAATGTTATGATGGAATGTTTGTTTCAGAGGAATTTTTCTTACTGAGAATACATAAATATTACAATAAATTAGCCGCATTGGTCTAATTTTACTGCAGGGAGTTTCATTTCTGACAAGCAGAAAACAAAGCCAACACAAATGTACTGTGCAATAACAGAAGATGAGCAAATATAACAGTGATTTTGCTCTCTGCTCTGGTTCATTGTGTTGGCTTGTGTCAGAGTGTTGGTATTTATTCAGAATGTTTAAATTTCACATGCACAATCCCTTCAGACATAAAGTATTTGTTAAAGTCTATATACAAGCCTTCATTGTTTTCAACATTATGTATGCAAAGGTTTATGAGTATAATGATATTCTAACAGTTCCAAAAAAAAAACAAAAACAAAAGTGCATGGGGTGCGCTTCAACTTGCCAGAGCTTTAAAAGTCAGCACATGACAACTCAACAACGCTCCCAGTCTGTTTGCTAATAATATAATTCAATGCAGAAAGTCATTCATGTTTGATTTTGCGGCGGCCAACACAATGAACCGTCCATAGAAATAATCTACATGTGAACTGTGGCCTCAGACGAAGGTCACAGGATGTGGTTTTATTTCTATGGATCCGTTTTTCTGCCCTCATGTCCGTCATTTACAGCATTTTTTCTTCTCAACGTGCAGCACCCTGTTGCAGCGGGGGCATGTGTGGTATGCATCCTTGAAGTGTTTCACGAAGAACGGAATCAGGCAGCAGCACAGGACCAACCTGCAACACACACAAACGAGAGTAAGCTTCAAGCAGCCACATATTTGTACTTGTTTAACTTGTATATTTGTACTGCTACATGAACTGGGGTTGTGTGACATGTTTGGCTAACTTTGGATGCCAAATAATGAGAATGTAAAATAATAAGCATGGATTGTATTTAAATTAGGCAAATTGAAAAATTACACCTGCAGTCTGTCTAACAGCCAGCAGGGGGCGACTTCTGCGGTTGTAAAAAGAAGTCTGATTGTATAGAAGTCTATGAGAAAATAGCTCTACTTCTCACCTGATTTGCTACCTTAGTAAACATTTTACTAATTAGTTTTCTAGTTTCAAGTCTTATTCAACACAGCATTTGGTTTATTTAGTAAATTATGATCCCATTTAAGGTCAAATAGAGCAGGGATTTTTTTCAGAACTATACACAGTTTATGATCAGAAGATAATGTTTTATTGCTTTATTGTATTGATAAATACACTCACAGCACTGTTAGTAAAGGTACTAGGGATGCATGGAAAAGAAATCTTGTATGAAATATAGATGTTATTTTTGGGGATTTTAGAAATAATATGTTCCAAACTTATATGATAAAATATAAAGCATTAAAAACAATAAAATCTTCCCCTTTTCTATATATTCATTACGAGTTTATAATGCTTCCTTAGTGATAGATTGTGTGGGTTTAATTCAGTGAAACACAACTGCATTTATACAACCATAAAATCCCAACTGTGTCTCAGAGCAATCACAAAACTGTCCTTTTTTCAGACCCTTGATTTGCATTACGAAAAAAGTGCAAAATTGTTTAATTACAAAGTAGTTTACTATATTAGTCAGCTTTATTTTTGGACCTTTTATCGCCTTTATGTCTCCTGGACTGTACATTTGTAGTCCTTTATTTGTTGCTTCACCTGTAGACAGAAAAACGAACCCCCATGATCCCTTAAACTATTTTCCTTTGTGTATTCAAAGCTGTCAATCTTTCAATCAAGTCTCATTTGTTACAAGTATGTAACATGTGCCCTTTGACTATTCAGACAAAATGGACAGTGTCCTCTTGCACACACCTTTAAAATTAACTTGAGCTGATATTAAATCCGGGAATACCCCAAACCCCCGGGGGGTAACTGTTATTTGTAGAATGAATTATTGCAAATTTGTTAGAGATTTTGCACCACTGAATCTCAGCTGCGATGATGTGGCCTTTTCTTGGGATGTAGATAACAGTCTGTTTCCCCCAAGAAACGTAATGCAACCCTGTCAATAGAACCAAATAAAAACCACACACTGACCCGCAGCAGATGAAGAGTAGGCACATCAGCCAGGCGTATGTCCCCGCTTTGTAGGTGACATTTGTCATGACCTGCTGCTGACAGGCGGTGCAGGTCGTCATGCCGGGGGAGTTTCCCAGCCCCGTTTCATAGCTCACAAACTTTCTTCTGCCGTCTCCAGAGTCTAAACCAGAACCCAGGCCTCCCCCTCCGCTGGTGTACACTGAGGGGAGGAAAGTGGAAGGTTAATCGACAACATTCTAGAATAAAACTGTGAACTAAAACTAGAATTTTAAAAAAAAACCCAAAACAAAACATGATATGTGAGAATACCTGGTGTGCCCTGAGAGGTGGAGACGTTTTCCTGTGTGGGAGGAGTGAAAGGGGTGTGGACGTGGTAAACCTTCACTGAATCTGCCGCCTGAGTTTCTACTGGACCAGATGAAGAAGAAGAAGAAGAAGAAGAAGAAAGAAAGACAGAGGAAAGGAGGAGAGACAGAAACAGCATTAATGAGTTAATGAGCCGGTGATGGAAATAGTGATGAGAGCATCTGTGTGTTTGGCCTCACGTGGTAAGATGTAGGGAGGAAGCTCTTTTTGTCCATCTGCGCTCATTGTGCTACAAAGAGAGAGAAGAAGCGTTATGAAAGGTGCCGTTAAGAGAAATGACACAGCTTCCACCCAGCAGATGGAGCCACAGCATTATCGTTTAAACAAAAAAAACCCACATCTGTCAGACTCCAATAAAGATGTCCGTCACCCCTAACTGACACATGTTCGGATGCTTGCTGTCAGCATCCTCGGTGAACGCCCGGGTGTGTCTGTTTGTTGGCATGTCTTAGGTGTGGTTCTTTGTTCACAAAGAAATGCTTGTTGAGGAGCAGCAGGAGGAAATCAGGTTGGCTAATTCTGCTCTCTCTCTTATGTCACTTCTCAAAACACATTTTTATCAGAGAGCTTCTCCTGATTTTATTTATGTTTTATGTTTTATGTTTTTTAGCTTCCTGCTTTGTGTGCTTTCTACTTTTGTGCGCTTATTGTATTTACATTTTTAATTTATTTTTATTGAAAATCACTTTGTATCATTTGTTTTGAAACATGCTCTATAAATAAAGTTTATCATTATTATTATTGTTTCTTTGTTTCATTTATTATGTTTAGATTATGATTCAGAAAAGTCATAATACATCCCAACTATTTCTATCATGGGGGAAGTTTAGTGATTTTTGTACCCTGAAAGGATGTCAAATTGTGATCTCAGGGATGTTACTGGCTTTAAGAGTGACTCTTGTGAAATTATTGTTAAATAATGATTCATAAAAATAGCTCCAGTTTCAATCACCTATATTCGACTGTAAAATTCTCACCTCACTATAGGGTTAAAGGAGCAGCCACACCTTAATTCAGTCCACACCAGCAGAAAAGAAATCCAGTATGAAGCTACTGTATGTAAATTACCTGCACATTACAGGGCAGAGGTCAGACATTTAATGTATGCTACATTCTCACGCCCAAACTACACTGACGGCTTTGACTCCGCTGACTGAATGAGTGAATGTCACCCACAAAGATAAGATTAAGTTAAATTTAAGCTCACATTGATGGTTTAATACGTGTTTAATATCAGTGTCCTGGCAGTTCAGAAGCTCTATAGTTTGTTTGGGATGTGACTATATTAAAAAATAATTTGTTTTTTGATCTGTCAACTACATGCGTCAGTGTGGAACACAATTTGAAGGGGTTTACGTCAGTACTGATATTTTCTGAGATTTTGCTGCCGTACCTCTTGAAAGGAAATACAGTTGAGTTTTTGCACTGTATACATAAACTGCTCGCACAGCTCCTCTTTATTCACGCTGTGATTAGTGTTCATCATAATCAAGCAGCTAATTTCTGCCTCTGCTGCTTTTAGGCCTTAAATATGCACATGACTCCACATCTACTGTTCTCCTATTGTCTCGGTTCTCTGGTTCTTTCCACATAAGCAAGCACAGAAGCGCACACGAGCATGACATGACATTCATTTTGTCTTTCAGACGCGCCCACACAAAATCACTCACAATACACTCCAGCTCGACTCTCATGCAACATCATGGACAACACAGTTTTTGCTTTTTCTCCTCATCAAGTTTCCATCACTTCGCTTACATTTGCAGGTAACTTACTTTAAACCAATCTTCAACTTGAAATGTAATTTACAATAAGGGGATTGTTTTTTTTTTTTACCCCAGAAGATAGAAAGATTCTCATTTATGTCCCGACAACATGAGCAATACAAGCACACACACAATCCGCCTCAGTATTCTGCTGGACGTTCCTCCCTTCATTCATTACATGCACTGAGGTGAAGCCGCAGTTCATCACTTGTTGCTGCGGTTTGGATTCACAGCAGATGATAGACTGCTTTGTCATTGTGTCACACACACACGCTGAGCCTGTATACACCCATATGTTGGTGCAGGAATGCGACCAAGCTGCATGCTTCCCTCTGTGTCACAGACTGAGGGTGTGTCGACCAAACCCACCGGTGATGAACTCACGCTGCAGACTTAAACTGCTGCCTTTTGCAAATCTACGCGTTGGCCGTCCGGCTAACTGGCTGAATGCCAACCAGTGTCTTTCATCTAAACTGTGCAAAACAGACACAATGTAAACTGAAATGCATAAAAGCTTAATTTTGCTATGTGGAAAAGTTTATTTCCTCTGCAGAGATGACTGTAAATGCTGATTTTGGATAACTGGTTTGTTTAACCTGTTGGCTTTGTTCCATTGTGAGCTAAACAGCTGGAAAGTTTGGGTGTGTTGGTTTCAGGTTTGTCAAGGAAACTGTCAGTTCTGCTATGTTTCCAGTACTGCTGTATTTTTTTTATTTTTCTTCCCGGTGGTGCACAAAAGCTTTACTTTGACTTGTTTATTTGTCTGAGTACGCGAGAAAATAACACTCAGAGGAGCATTGCATTTAGGCTACAGGCATGGTAGTGATGGTGCGTTCAAGAGCACTTGAAAAACTAAACTTATCTCGTAATAGTGCAATTGTAATTGGGTTTCTATTGCCATAAAACTATTCAATGAAAGACTAATGATAAAAAAAAAACATCACTACTATGTGAAGTGCAACGTGACAGCATATGTTGTGAATTTGCGCTATGTCCATAAAACTGAATGGAATAAGCAAATTCTAATTATCAATATAGACAGAGAGACAGACACGGGGATCCAGTGTCCAAATAGTTAAGAAGCTGATGTCTGACATGTGGCTGGTGATGGAGTCGGTGACTTCAGGGTGCGGCTTGAAAAAAAGTCCATCTTCCACATTGCAAAGATATTTTAAAACCACAGTGAGGAAAAGTTAGTGGCAACCGATCAAACAATGCATCTTTTGTAATAGCAGACTGGAGTAATGACTCTCTAATATTCTCTATACAGCTTTAAATTGAGGCAGGTGCCTGAGAGTGGATTCCCAGAGGGAGAAATGATGGAGACAGTTGGAGCAAAACTGGAACAGTAAATGAGCCACCGATCTTGTTGTTTAGACACTGAAAGCCAAATTCCTCCTTTCTAAACACTCTTTGGTTAAAAGGACCTGTGACATTCACCTGTGAGGTTTTTACATGATTATGTAATGAACTAATCAGACTGGTGGTAATTTCCTCTTTGGTTGAACCAGTTATTAGCACCATGCTGAGGTCAGTGAAACTCGCTGTTTCTGATGCAGCGTTAACACCCGTCGAAGGTGTGGCCGCACCGTGTGTGACATCTGTGCCGGCCAAACCTGACTTAGTCTTTATGCGAGAGAAAGAGTCTGTCTCCATGATGCATTTCAATGACCAGCTGAGGGAGGAGGAGTAGGAATGATCCAGTTTATCGTCACTTCAGTCACTATAATTTGCAGTCTGACCTGGTGTCTAATGTGCCAATCAGTGGAAACACTTACAAAACATCCCAGAGAACAAAGACAGATTCCTTGATGTTGTGTATTGTCCTCAAAACTGAATTATTCATAAGGTAGAAAACAGTTCTAACAAGTTAAAGCTAAAACTATGAAGGAAATTAAAGTTAAGTTGAAGTTAAAGCTAAGTTTGGTCCTTCTTTTTGACTGCATTGAATAAAAATGATCGAACATGTCAGATAAAACATGTTCTTTATGATTATAGATTAATGTTTTGTAAGCAAAAGTCAGTTCAATTGTTAAAATTTAGTTGTATTTCAGAGTGTGTTTGGACTTTTCGTCTGGTTTAATAAAAATGACAACATTTAATTCAGATCACGGAAACTGAACCATTTTAGTCTTTGGGTTTACTTTATCTAACAACTTTTCAATTTATTGTATTTTAGCTACTTATTTAGTTTACTTGTGTTTTTTGTGCATAAAACCTATTATTTGAGTATCATTATTTGTAAAAGTTATAGTCGCCTGGCTCGACAACTGCTCAGATTAACCAACAACGTATGTGCAAAAAAGAAAAATTCTGTTCTTGAACTTGTTCTACTGCAAAAACTTAGAACCTGTTAGAACTATTCATGCAACGATCTATTAACATTATGATCATCATGTTATTATACGGATTAGCTCAAGTTCACTACAATAATCTGTGACATGAAGAGATGATGAAGCAGACCCTGCCCCTTTAAAAATGTTAATTCTGTATGTTTTTACGCTAAAGTTAAGATCCAAATTCAGCTATATGTGTTCACTACTAAAGCTAGAAAAACCACAGTCACAGAACAAAGGCTGGATTCCTCTAAGCTGCACTTGTGGCTCTACAAATTGCCCCAAACCTCAAATTCCCATAAATAATACTAATAAAAAAAAAAGCAAACTGCAATAAACAGCACTAAACATCCGGTTAGAAAGTGTTTCTCCAGGCTCAAGCGACATTTGCTGTCACATTCCAACAGTAAAAAGATGGTTTATGTCGCAAGAGATTCATTAACGTGAGATAAAAAGTTAGAGCTGAGTATTGTCTGTTTACAATTAACCAACTTCTTCCTGTCCTGAACACTTCACATGCAACTTTTTCCTGTTTCAAAACCTCCTAATCTCTGTTAACACATAAAAATCAATTCCATCTACATGGTTGGTTTTAAATCCTGATAGTCTCACCTTGCTGGTGTGTTGCCGTCAGTACGCTGAGCTGTGAGATGCTGCCGATGTAGAGTCCAGACAGATTGTGGCTGAGTGGCTCACCTGTCTCACCTGTACCTGTACAAGTCTCTCCCCGCCCGCCCACAGCCCCGCCTTCGCCAACAAAGAAGCAGCGACAATGAGTCACTCGAGGGGTTTTGATGTAACTTTCAAAGCTCTTCTTTTTGACCTGTTCTTTGTTTCTCGGAGATTATTGAGGGAGTGTATCAGTGTGTGTGTCACATGCTTGGGAATAAAACTCGTTTCCCTTCCTGCGGCAAGTATTTTTCCCAAACACAACATCTTTATAGCACTCAAGTGTCGTTTTTGTGCTGGAACGTGACCGCCGACACGCTTGACAAATTTTTGCGCTCAAAGTTGTAAGAATTCAGAGTATGTTGCTGCTGTTGATGAGGCAGCACAATCAGCTTACCTACAATATTTGCTCCAAGGGGAATCACTGGGAACCATTTACACCTTTCAACCAATTACCTGCTAATGAATAGACAATTACACTAGTAAATTGGAATTTTTTTACAGGCTGTTTAATCAGTAACTGTGAAGAATCTAAGCATGATCACACACAAATGTCCTGAAACTAAATGGTGAATAGCATCTGGACACACAGTGAACCAAACAGACATTTAAGCAAGACTTTCTGCCAGTAAGGCCATTTAACGACTGGTATGTTGTTTCAAATAGAACCATCAGTGCTGTTTGAAATGTAAGTAAAGAATGAATCCTATGATAACAAATGTTGTTTAATATACACAGTTTAGCCACAATATTGATACCACTAGCAGGTGAATAACATTGATTGTCTCGTTACACTACTACCCATCAGGGGTTGGGGTATGTTTTTGTCTAAAACTGGACAAACGTAGGCCTCTGAGCAACTTTGACAAGGACCAGATTGTGATTGTGAGTCACAGCTTCTCTTCAACTGCAGGTCTTGTGTGGTTTGCTCCCAGTAAACAGTGGTTAGTATCTAGAAGGAAGGATTAAAGGTGAACTAATGACAGCGTCACAGCCACTTAAGGCTCATTGATGCAAGGTGGTGGTCCAAGCCCATGGAAATGACACTGTAGCACCAATTTTTGAAAACCTGGTGGCTTGTTTTAACATTGTGGCAGATATGTTACCAGCTTTGTTTCTCCTTTGCTTGCTGAATCAGGAACTCCAGAGCTGAAAAACAACTGGTTTAAATTGGAGATTCTGGGTATTCGCTTTTCCAATATCAGTCCCCAATGAGTACATTAAAAGTACAGCTACAGTCAACGGTTTTCAAAGATAACACAATCCTTCCCTCTAAAGGAGACCGTATGCTCTGTCGTAACTACTTGGTGGATGCTCCATTATCTTTGACATCAACTCAAATCCTTATTTTTCATGGTGTGCTGCATCCGACCATTTCTGGAACTTTCCGAAACAGTTTGATGTTTTGACTTTTTATTTATGGTGGGTAGAAACTTTCCACTTGTGTCCAGAGCTAATCAGGTAGTGGCTGCAGCCTTAGGTTTAACGAATGTTATGATCTTCTCATCAAACTGTTATGAAAGTGTGTTTTAATAGTGTATTTCCTGACACTAATTCATTACATAAACAGCATGTATTTCTGGGTCTACCATCCCAACTACATGGTATTATAAAAAAGCAAAAGCATCCTCGTGACCTATTGTGTTAGAAACTTGGCTTTCAGGGAGCTAAATCTGGCATGTAGGGCAGGTGGGGAGCGACAGTTGGGTTCATGCAGCTATAAACCTCATGTATAATCACTGGGCACACGTCTGGAGGATCCATGTGGCTTTATGCTACAGTTGGGTCATTTCTGCCAAATGTTTTCCCTCAAATGCTTCAAGAAGTAACAGTAAAACTCTAGAGACTGATTGTGTGAAAGGCCTGGATCATCTAGAACCAACCCTGTGTTTCCTCAGCTACAGGGAGTAAAGAGGATATGATATGATATGACAGCTGACCAAAATGCACCATTGTCGGTAACATTTAGAAAAATGTAGCTGCACGCATCAACAGAATATATACAGATATAACATCGGTCTAATTGTTTTTACACAGTTTAATGCAGACATGTTTAGCATTATACTTTGAAGCCTACCAATTACTCTTTCTAGCTTTCGAACACAATCATAAACACATGAATACACAAAGTCGTTACAGTATATAAAACTCCAGCTAATCTCCTCACATTGTTTACCATTGGTAGACAATAGGCTATTTGGAGGTGATGATGGATGTGGTGTTGAGACGTCTGGCTGTTAAAACTACACCCATTTTAATGGTTGATGGCACATTTACTATCGTTTTGCCTGAAACAACATGGACCGCCTATTAAAGTTCATTTGTAATTTACACTGCCTTTTCTTTTGAATTTCAGCTCAAAACGATGTCTGGGAAGCTTTGTATTTTCTTACATGCAGTCGGGAGCAGGCCAGTCGGGCCACATTTTTGCGCTGTTGGTCACTGGATCACACAGAGCCCTACTGGGGGTTGAGTTTCTCCTCTCGGCATACCTGACATGTACGCCAAGGGAGATCTGAAGCGATTTCCAGCATGTTTTTAGATTCTAACCGGTGATCTTAAAACCTGGAGAACATCTATGGAGGTCAATTACATCAACCCTACTGACGTTTTATCAGACAAATGTAGGACAAGTAAACATTCAAAATCCGGAACGTTGTACTTAGATTTTTTTCTTTGTAGTGACGATCGAAGATTAAATCTTGTCACAAATAAGTCCTGCTGAATTACAAGTAAATCTGTAGGGAAAATACATGACTGTAATGGTGACCAACAGTAGAAACTAAATTGTCAACATCAATGTTAAAAAGAGGGGAAACTCATATTACATAGAAAGATAATTGCAACACATTAATAAATCCAAAACTGCTTTTTAACTAATTGGTAATTCTAAGACTAAAACAATTCAATACCCCCATTTTAAATAAACCAGCCTTCCAATATATATATAATTTGAGTAGTTAACTTCTGTTCTTTTGTCCCTTCACCCCAATACATTCATTTAGAGGCTCTACAGTTGAGGAAGGCGTGTGCGAGAGCGTGGGGTGTTGTCTTTGATCGATGTCAGCTGGGTGAGGTGTTAGCGTATGTGTGTGTGTGTGTGTCTCTGTGTGTTTCGATGGGCCAGATGAACAGCATTCCAGAGGATGGACCGTTCCCTGCAGAGTTTTACGTTCCTTAAAAAGGCTGACGTGTGTGTGTGTGTGTGTGTGTGTGTGTGTGTGTGGTGTACATGCATGTGTGTGTCTATGCGCGTTCTGTTTTGCACAAATGGTGACATTCTTGAGAGATTACTTGAGAGATGATTTGTTCGTTTTGCAAATCCAGTTATTCTGACTTAAAGAGAGGGAAAACAAGAACTATATTTTATTAATTTTGCTCAGGTTCGATTAAATAATAGTAGCGAGAGACTCAGAAAACTGAAATCTATTAAAAGAATGGAAACAAAAACTTAAAAAAAATATGAAGGAATCTACGAAAATGGCTGTTTGTAGAAATACCCACTTATGGAGAATTGTAGGGTTTTGATGCCCTGACACTTTAACTCAAATTTGACCTGTTTTGACACTTGGCAGCAGTAAAAACACCTTAAACATCTTTTAACTTAAAATTTTCCAAAAGTGACCCAAAATACACAAAAATGAAAATATTCTAAAATGTCATACTTTTGCAGGTGCTGCTAAGTCTTGCACAGAGGCTGCTTCATGTCAGATTTGACCATTGAGATGGATTGTAGATCTACCAGTTTGGGTCAAATCAAGGAAAATGGTGGTTTTAGGGGAATCTTGAAACTGTGAAACTGTACAGGCCATGTTTTACGTGTATTTCTTATTTACATTTATTAACATGACATAGACTATTTAGGCATTCTAAATAGAGCTGTAGTTTAAAATTTGATATAGACACTTGAATTCTTGACAGGAATTCTTCACAGTGAAGGCATCAAATATGAACAGTATGTAAAGGTAAAGCAGACTTAGCTGTCTCTTTTACCATTTGGCTTCTTGTTTTCAGCCTCAAGCAGCTAGAAAAAAGGACGCCCAAGGCCTTAAAGCTGCTCACTGATTAACAAGGGGTTTACAAATGTGGGACGCAGCTTGGAGCGTTGCAGTTTTGTTTTATCATTGGTCCCCGTCAAACCCTTCATATTGTCAAAAATGTGATAATTCTGCTTTATTTTTAATATTGAGGTCATACTGGGATTTGGCTAATATTCTTTACAGACATTTAAAAGTTGAAAGATGCGATATTATTACTCTGTCATTTATTAGTTTTCTGCAAACAAGCATCCTACAGTCACAGCACTGAAACACCAACAAAAACTGAAAATACAGAAGCTTTGTAACAGTTAAATTTATGACAGACTGGTTGTATTGGATTACATTAGATTTCACAGTTGTGTCCAATAAAGTGGACCTTGGGTGAGTGAAGGAGTCACACAGAAATAGAAAACCTTCAAGTAAATACCTATGAAATAAAACCACTGAATGTAAATATTACAATCAGTGAAAAATATGAAAAATTAGCTGTTTTTTTAATTTGCTTTGGGTTTTGTGGATGTTTAATTCAATTTTTTTTTCAACAGTTGGTTAGGCTTACAAGGAATAAAGTTTAGCTCCAAGGGCAAGAATAATTCATACTTATCAAAGTATTTGGAGTAGAGCTTTAGAGTTTTGAACAAAATGGAAGTTTTTGCATTTTTTAATTCTCTTTTTTTTTTTTCAAGAAAATACATGAAATGAACGGCAGGTTAGGTGAGTTGATTTAGTTTTAGTCAGGGAGTTTTTATGGAATGACTCATATGTCACAAAACATGGTTTAAACATTTCTAGGACATCTATACTAAACAATGATGTAAGTTGCTTCATAGGTATAATTCAGTATCATCTTTATAACAGTAGAGCTACATAGAGTTGGCTCCATGACCGAACATTGTGCTACATGTTTTGTGGTCATTTGAAAGACATACTCAGAAAGAAAGATGGAAATATGTTTTTTTTTAAAAACATAAATGTG